TTAACAGAAACTATATAAAAACAAATACATGTTAAATTTATTAAAAAATGATCAAAAATGTAAACGTCTTCATTTTCAACGGCGGAAGCCCAACGAGAAAAGGAGTTTTTAATTCTAGGTTGAAAGGAATTTTGGTTTATTCCGAAAGTTTCAAAGACTGTTTTTAACTTCTTTGTTCTGCCACTTATGAAATATTCTAGTGATCAAAATATCAAAAATCTGGAGTGTTTTTTTGTTTTTTTTTTCTTAACATTTTGCCCCAAGCAAGGTGATAAGAAACACTAAAATACAAGGGGTTACTGAATGTGAAAGAAACAGAAAAGTTCTAGATCTGGTGAGTATGGAGAATGCAAAAGAACTACCTATTGTAAAGATCTTATATTTTCTTGACTTTCTTCTATGGTGTGCCAGGGGTTTTGCATTGTCATGCTGGAGAATAGCACCTTTTCTGTTTACCAAAGCAGGAAACTTTCGACGTAATGCTTACATTTTCATATGCTAACAATAAATGCCTTCAGTGATGGTCATTTCATGTTCCAATAGTTCATAATAGATGACACCTTTCATATTCAACCAGGCACAATGCAAAAATTTCTGCAGATAGACTCATAGATTTGGTGCTGGTATCTATTTCTCATGTTACAATAAGCACTTTTTCATTTTCTGTTGCTGTGAAAAATCAATTTTTCAACACCTGTAACAAAGTAATGCAAAAATGGTTCTCATTCCTGCTGCAATTGGTTCTGTTCAATTCTCAAGCAAAAGTTCAAAATGATCCCAAATTCCTTCTTTGCAAATTTTCTCAATTAACTTAATAAATGCACTATGAACAACACACCATTAGAGAGCTGAAGAGCTCTCCCTAATAGAAGAGTTCATAAACTAATTTTCATCATAGTTTCCTTCCATTTAATACTCTTGGAAGAATTCTTTGTTGTTCAGTGAAAATTTCAGATCAAAATTCAGTGAATAATTATGAGTCGGCCTATGAATTTATTGATTCATACTTATAAATTAACCAACATGTTTATTTTTAGAATATTTTTGGAAAAGTTTGAAAAAGAATTTTGTTTAACTAGATTTGTTTAGGAGTCTGTTACACAAAGTAACAGTTCTTGGGAAGAAGCTATCTGAGTAGAACTTCTTCTTACCAATGGAATATGAAGGTAATACAGATGAGTCTACCCTGTGTATGGGAAATGGTCAGTCCTTGCTGGGAAGGTCTGTGAAACTAAGGAACGTGGGATGGTTCTTTTCAAAATCTCGTTTGTCTTTGTTAGAATTATTCTAATTCTGTTGAAGTCTTTCTATTTATTTGGTCGACACATTGAAATATGTAATTACTTTCTGAACACCTTGATTATTAAAGATTCAGTTATTATTACAAATGAAAATAATGTTAAAATATTATATAGAATAATGAAGGATTTATCAGTGGAATATTATTACTCTTGGATGCTAAAAGAATGTTTCCTTCAGTCTGTTAATTCTGGGATTTTTGTCCAACCCTTGGAACTCATTAGGAAATCCTAGTCACTTATTGATGTTCTGCTTTCTTGACGGACATTTATATTAGAATAATAGCAATATATCATGTAAATTTTATTAAAGCATTTTATTTAAAGACATTGATAGACATTTATTTTTAGTTTATTTCTTCATGGTCTTGTTATCGTTTGAAAGACATGCTTTTAATCCTTTCACAACCATCCCATTTATTGACCTCCCCCACACATCATTTATTAGATTTTCTCATTTTTCTAACCCACCTACCCCTCCTCTACCACTACGTTTCTTACATTTTCTTAGTTTTTCAGTCACCCAAGCATTGTCTGAATATTCATTTCCATATTATAAGTGCATTTTGCATGGCATTAGATGTGATTATTTACTATAAAAAAAAAACAACAAAAATTAGAATCATACCAAAAATCTTTATATGTTTACAATATGTCAGGGAAAAATCTCAGAAAAAAGACATTTTCTTTTTATATTATGATTACTTATATTATTTACATTATTTGGACTGTTATCCTCCTCTTCATTGCCTTATTCACAATGTTTTGGTTGTTGAATGCTCTGGCCTTTTTCAGGTTATTGGAATTTTGAACTGAACCCTTTATTTCATCCATTGGGATAGATTGTTCTAGTTCCACGTGCCATGCCTCTTCCAGATGTCGTAGTTTATTTTCCTTTTAACTCAACTCTCCAAGTTTTGGTTCACCACTGCTGTGGCCTGGTATTGAACTCTCAACTCTTTGGGTCTAGAGTCATGAGTTCAATACCAGGCCACAGCAGTGGTGAACCAAAACTTGGAGTGTTGAGTTAAAAGGTTAGATCCAGTGACTAGAACCAAAAAGGTCCTTGTTGACATTGTCACTTCTCCCATGCTTTATTATGACAAACGTTGGTGATCATGGCTCTCCACAATTTCCTTTCCTTTGTAGCTCTTAATAAATTTTGTCATCTTTCATAAACTTGCCATCAATATGTCCTGTGAGTATCAAATTTTCCGAGCCCTCTTTCCTCATTTAGGCCCTATAAATTTCCACTGTCTCTTCCTAAAATTTCATTAGAAACAAATAAGAGTACTGCACTATTTAATAAAACTTCTCGTATATGCTGGACAATCTCACAGATGAAGAGGAGAATGGAAGTAACAGAAATGTGATTCTACAGAAGGATGCTGAGAATGACATGTGAGCAATGATGAAGTTCTAGAGAAAATGGAAATAAAAAGAACACTGATACTTCTGCTATATGCATAAAGGTAAAAAGAGAAAGAGAACGAAAGACAAGAAGTGTCCAGTTTTTATAACTGCTTGACAGCACCCTCTAACTACTTCTTAGTAAAACTGGTGAGGCTATGTGAGAATAACCCACACCCTTAATTTTAATACTTTAAATTCTTCCATTAATTTCCCATGATATTTTAAATTTTTATATTACTTTCCCAGTCTGAGAGTCGACTGTTGCAGGAACAAACACAAGAAGTAGATGGAGAAAAAGAAAAATTTAAACATGTGACAGTTTGAATTTAATGAACTTTTACATTGCTTGCTTTATAAAATTCTTAATTTTCTGCCCAGAGGTAAAAATCCATGATACATCAAAATAAATAAGCAACATAAAAAAAAGGAAATATTATTTCAAGGGAAAACAACATTTTTATTTTAATTTCCTTTCAGCTTCTCGGTGCTCATATTAATATCCTCAATCCTTTAAATTCTTACATTAATTTCCCCCTTCATCTTTTTAATGCTGAAAGTATTTTATTTTTATTTTTTTACTTTTTTTTTTACAGCTAGGTTTACACTTTACAAGGCCTGGGAGCCAATCAAAGTAGAGAATTATGTTAGGGGCCATTTGTGTATATAGGAGTGGAAGGTAGTGGTTAACCTTGGCCTTGAACAGGTTAAGGTTGTAATGAACAAGGAAACATCCAGTTCGGAGTCAGTTCCACAGGTTAGTGGTTTGCGAGTAGAAACTCTTCGAGTAGAACTTCTCACCAATGGGATACAGAGGGAATGTGGGTGGGTTGCTACTATGTAAGTGGCATTATTGTTCACATGCTCAGTCCTTAGCATCCTTCTGTAGAACCATACCCCCATTGCCTCAAGTCTCTTCATCTTTGAGGCAACCATCCAACATTTGCTGCCGTAAAGGAGGGCAGATGTCACATAGCAGCTCAGTACTCTTTTCTTTGTTACCAAAGAAATCCACCTGTCTCATAATACTCTACCTAGCTTTTGGGATGCATCTTTGGCCATCCCAATACATCTTTGGATGTCAGCATCACACTTACCATCCCTTTTCCATATGTATATATATTTCTACACCTGCTTGATTTTAGTGTCCCCAATGTGTAAATCACATTTCGGGCTCATTCTTTTACTGATGACCATGCATTCTCTTGAATTTTCAATATATTAATTACCTTTCCTCTTTTAATACTTATATAAAGCTGTCCTGGATAAGACAATAAACTACATCTGTTTCCTAAGTAAGACAAACAGCAAGGCCTCTGATCAGGAGGTTTTGATGGGAGTGAAGCCACTTCTTAATTGCTGGTGTTCCTAGGTTTACCCTGACCTGGGGTGGTAGCATCTGTTAGGGTCCCAGCTATGGGCAAATAGTTAACCCCAAAACTGGGATCAAAACGTTTAAAAATATGTTGTATTACCAGCAATACATTTTTGTAAAAAAAAATTATTACCAGCAACTAATTTTTGAATAAAAAAATTATCAGCAATACATTATTACCAGCAATACATTTTTTTTAAAAAAAATTACCAGCAATACATTTTGAAACAAATATTACCAGCAATAAAAAATATTGTAGGCATTAAATAACCCATGGAGGTTGATATGTCGTAAAACAAACCAAACCAAACCTTAATTAAAGTTCCATCAATGTTTTCAATGCTTATACTTAAATTAATTTCACAAATTGTTTTAATGTTTATATTAATTTCCTTTAATCTTTTAAATTAATTTCTCTTTCATTTGATTTTTGTGTTTTGCAACTTAGAATTTATATTAAGAGATCTGTCATATTGGGACAAGTCTATAAGTATTGATTGTGAATGAATCTCAAGAGATTCATTCTTTTTCGGTCATTTGTAATTAAAAAAGAAATAATGGAAATTAGTGACTTTACACTAAATGAGATTTTATAATTAAATACAGTAAGTAGGAGTTTTTAATTAGTATGAGCACTTTATATCTGTTGTGTTCATATAACTGTTGTCTGGTACCTGTGTCTGGGGATCAAGTGGCAATTTCAAGAGGGGAAGGGTTTTTATATGGCATCAAAGTTGATATAATATTATTTCTTTCAAGATTCTGTTTTAAGAAAACGTATCATTCTTCATTGGCCTCTTTTTCAACCAAAGAAGTTGTTTTGTTATAATGATTCCTGTATCAAGAATATTACGACATCCTCTTTCTCCCAGTCTCTCAGTCTCTCTCTCTTTTATTTCTTTCTCACTCTGTCTCTC